AATAGGAATTTCCTTCAACCTACTAGCAATGGTTTCCAACCAGAGGTCGAATGTGATTCAACTGTAAAAGACCCGAACAAAAAGGCACCTGCAGAAAGCACAGAAGTCATTTTTCGGATATTTCGGCTATTTTGGTTTTTTCGGCTGTCAGGTGCCTCAATAACCTTCCCGATTTGAAGCTAACGACCGAGCAGGCCCAGATGGGTGGTCCAGATGAGCTCCGCTTAGGGGGCATTACTAGTAGCATAGGACGCTACTAGGAGCAAAGGGCATCGCTACTAGGAGCAAGGACGCTACTAGGGTCTCCTGGCCCTAATACTAGTAACAAGAAGCTTCTAGTAGCAAGGGCGCTATTGGATTTGAGGCCATCGATTATCAGTAACAAGAAGCTACTAGTAGCTCCTGGCACTACTACTAGTAACAAGAAACTACTAGACACACCCGTTCCATCTTACGGTTTCATTTTTGGGAGGGCTATAAGGTCAATCTCCATCAATATCAATATCTTATCTATCCTTTCTATCCTTTCCATCATTTCAATCAACATTGATATCTTTCATTAATATTATATAATATTGAATACTATTGTAGTTCTATCAATATATCTATCATTTCTTATTCCCCTTTGTTATTCCCCTTGACTGACCAGCATCTGACCCTTTCGCTTCGACGATGTCAACGCCCGATGAGCGATGTCGCCGCCAGATCTCACTGATGTTGGATCGCATCATTGGCGACAACTCTGAGGCGCTCCCCCGCTAAAAGAGGGAAGACTTGAAGAATAAGACGGAAAAACACAGAAAGACAGAAAACTAGATAAAGACATAAAGAAAGACACATTTTTGAAGAACAGAAAGGACGTTCCTCCTTAGGCTAACAGAGCACCCCAAACTAGAAACTCATTCGTTCTACTGAGTCCCATCTAGTGGAATCCTGTCGTTCTTAACTGCTTACTAAGATCGCTTACAACTTGTGGTCACGGCCCAGCCCCCAAAAAGCCACGATAGAAGAAACAAGGAAGTAAACAGGCAAGGGTAACAAGAAGGGGCAGAAAGGAGAAGGCAGTGAGTCTTGACATTGGTACGGTAGTGAATGCTATGAAGTAAAACATACCAAGAAAAAGGCACCAAAAAGCACCTTGTCAAAGTGCCACAGGCAGAGAATGACCCAATTAAACAGCATTAAGCCTATTTCAAAAGGGATTGTCTTGCAAATTGGGAAGCTGAACAAGCTAAACCGACCTCATAGAAGTAGTCTTCTTGAACATATCTTGACAACATGTGGCATAAGGCACTAGCTATTGCACATCACTTCATTCCTCAAGTGCACTCTCTATGCCAGGATGGTGTCATCTCGCGATGGAACTTCTTGCGCCGCTTCCAGCAATTCTATGTCCCGTTCTCAGAGTCACACACCTAATAGCGATGGCCTCCATCCAACCTAGTAGCATCTTGTTACTAGTAGGAATGGCCTCCAACCTACTAGCGATGGCCTCCAACCTAATAGTATATAGAATAAGGGTTCTTCTTAGAGCTGAGCCAAGATCAATGGCAGTCAGCAAGAGTTGTTCCTTAAGGAATGCCAGAAGACCATCGCTCTCACGCATGACCTTGCCATCACGAACAGCAAGCCGATTCGTATGCTGAATGCCGAGGAGGCTAGGATGTGGGTGATGTCATCAACTATACATATAACAGGCTAGACCAGCAGGAACATCAAGAGGGTTGAGATTCCATTGTTTGCACGGGAGTCATGATGTGTTTGCCCCAATGTTTCTGAGGCGAGTTCTACAGCAAGTTTCCCGACAAATCTAGAAACCACATGATTAAGTGCTGAGGATGCTACTAGGGGCTCCTGGCATCGCTACTAGGAGCAAGGATGCTACGAGGGGCTCCTGGCCTTACTACTAGGAGCAAGGACGCTACCAAAGGAGCAAGCCCTTCGGCATCCTGCCGTTAGCTGCGGAAGCTCAATACTTACACTTTACATCCCTTTACGTGTTTGCTACTTGGAAGCTACTAGGCAGCCCATCCCAACCAAAACGGCTTTAAAACGTTGAAACTTCGCTTCTAAGTCTTTCGGGTCAGCGAACCAGTCTGAGGCCATCGAGGTGCTGGAAGGTCCTCGAGGAGATGAAAAGTCAGGCGGGAACAGGAAGCCGCTAGTAGGGTGGAGGCCATCGCTAGTAGGAGCGATCGGACGCTACGTTCGGGGCTCCTGGCCTTACTACTAGGAGCAAGAAGCTACTAGGAACAAAGGGACAAAGGGCATTGCTACTAGGAGCAAGGACGCTATTAGGTTGGAGGCCATTGCTATTAGGTTCCTTTTGCCCGATAGATGGCGACAGGAATCGACGTGTGCCATCATTTGGATGAATTCTTTTTTGACCGCTCTTTCTTATTTTTTAAAAGACCTTTCTTCTATTGACCTTTCATTGTTTCTTTCTTCTTTTGACTTTTCTTTTGTGCTGATTCAGGTTTAATTACCCGGTTTTGCAGTGGACGACATGCATGGAGTGTTTGCTTGTCCCAATCAACCCAAGAACTTCCGAGAGGCTTTCATGCGATTTCTAGCGATCTTAGCCCGACATCGCTTTGAATGGGAAGACTTTCTATTTTGCCAAATAGAAACATAAAACAATACATTTTCGAAGCTGTGTCTTGTTGTGGTGTCCGCTGTGTCTGGTTGTGTCCGAGAGCCAGGCATCGAGCGAATCCGTGGTCGTGCTGTGCGGGACAGCACCATTGGATGGCTGCGAGCTGAGCCCGGACTTTTCCGGAACAAGAAGCTTCTAGGAGCATAGGACGCTACTAGGAACAAGTGCATCGCTTCTAGTAACAAGTGCCTTACTAGAAGTAACAAGAAGCTATTATAAACAAGAAGCTACTAGGAGCAAGAAGCTACTAGGAGCAAAGGGCATCGCTACTAGGAGACTACTAGGAGCAAGAAGTTACTAGGAACAAGAAGCTTCCTGGCTTATTGAGGCTATATATAACCCTGGCGGCTTTTGATCTTTTCCTATGCGCATGCCCATGAGATGGCTTTTGGCAGGGGTTCCACATTGCTCTGTTTGCCCGAGGGTCAGCGTCAGTGGAAACCAGGGCTCCGTGTTTCTGAAGGCACTCCCTCTGTCCGAAGAATTCTAGTTTGGAGGTGAACACTAGTAGTAACAATAAAGCTAGTAGAAACAAGTGCCACGCTACTAGAAACAAGTGCCTTACTAGTAGTAACACTGTTTGCTATTAGAATTAAATTAAAACTAAATTAAACTAACTAGTAGCTTCTTGTTACTACTAGTAAGGCACTTGTTACTACTAGCGTGGCACTTGTTCCTAGTAGCGAACATATTGTTCAATAGCTTTGATGAAATAGTGCAATGGCCTCCACCCTAGTAGCGATGGCCTCCAACCTAAGAGCGATGGCCCCAACCTACTAGTGACCTCAACCTAGGAGGTGTGAAAGAAGGCGGCTCAGCATTGTAGGCAAGTTTGGAATGACTCTCTGTGCACAATCTCATGTAGAAGCAGCATGGAAAGCATCCTGCTGCATGTCATCATGCTGGATGTCATCGTCGAGTCTTGGTCTTCGGTTTCGGAATCCAGGAGAGGCCCAAGCCTTTTGTTCATTGCTTGGTGGATCTTCCACTGGAGAAGAGCTTTCGGTCGCTTGGCAAACATTCACAGCCGAACAAAGCCCTTTTCGGTACGGAAGCAAAGATCCGTCATGCAACGCAAGAACGCTTTTGTTGAGATCCTGGTTCAATGCCTCACACCTCCAAGTCAAACGACAAACCGTGTCTCTTTTGTTCACCTTCAAGAATGCATTCATTTCACGGCTTACTAATCCTTAGCAAAGACACTCCTGCTCACAGAACGTTCCTAAAGTCTGCCAATTTGACATGTCTGATTCAACGACGGTGTTCTTTTGAGGTCCTCAGGTGAAGCACCAGTGAGGTCCCTTAAGGCGGGGGTTCTTTGGAACGCGAATGGTCCAGGTGCAACATTTCCGCTTTTCTTCTTTTTCTTGATCACAAGAAATGCCCAAAGTTCCCAAACCAACAAAATTAGAACCATTTGGAGGCCATCGCTAGTAGGTTGGAGGCCATTAACAGCTTAATAGCATTAAGCCAAAGCACTGCTCGAACTTGGCGCACTGCGGACCTCGACTCGTGACTCTTCCCATCAGACCAATGAAGTCCTCGAGATCCTTGAAGGGCCTCGGCAGGACTGGGACTTTCTTTTTTTTTTGACGGTTTCGGTCCGAATTTATTAAGACTTCATCAGCTTTGCTTTTGTGTCTTTTGCCCGATTCTTTTGCCTTTTCCGAAAAAGAGAGGTGAACCAAGGGATTCAACAGGAGATTCTTCTCCTGTTGATGAGAAGAAAGCAGAAAGAACTCGCAATTAAGAACTCCTTGCCCGAATTATGCACTTTTGCATGACATCAGGGTCAAATTCTGCTCCCAAAAGCAAATGGTGTGGGTTCTTCTAGGTTGGAGGCCATTGCTAGTAGGGTGGAGGCCATCGTCGCAGACACTGCCTCATAAACCGCACGTAGGTTAAGGCATGTTATGTCTGATCCGCGCTTGCCATCGAACACAGCTGACAGGGCAATGCATGTTCCAAACACAATCTTCTTCTCTGGATGGACAGAAATAGACCAATGAAATAAGATGAAAGAAGACAAAAACAAGAAATACATTATTAAAGATTCTCTTTCTCTGTCTCTGGATGGACTGAAATGAGAATCCCCAGATTTTCAGGACAGTCGAGATGCTGTGATGCGTGTGCGATGCAAAGTCTTCACGGTAGCTCGTTTGAGCTTGCAGTTTTCCTTGGCTGTAGCTATGTGAGATTCTACTCGAGCAAGTCTTTGAAGCTACTAGGAACAAGAAGCTACTGGGAGCAAAGGGCATCGGACGCTCCTGGCCTTACTACGAGGAACAAGAACGCTACTAGGGGCTCCTGGCATCGCTACTAGTAACAAAGTGACAAAGGGCATTACTACTAGGAGCATTCTTACTACTAGTAACAGACTTGACAGTCTATGAAGGCCAAGCACGAGTTGACACATCCAAGGATCAGCTGGAGGGCTGGGTGACCTTGAACTCTGCCGGAGAAATGCAAGCGCAGACCGGACAACAGAGGCAGATCTCAACTGTGTTGGGCTAGATGCGCTGGTGAACTTGCCCTTGGGCCCAGTTCAAACAGTCAGGGTGGAGCTAGCATCCAAGCAGGTTCAACTTCAAGAGCATCTGTTCATATTCATTTTCCAACTGCACAAAGAGAACATAGCGGCATTATTCTCCAGGAAACAAATGGCATCGCTACTAGGAGCAAGGACGCTACTAGGGGCTCCTGGCCTTACTACTAGGAACAAGGACGCTACTAGGAGCAAAGGGCATCGCTACTAGTAACAAGGACGCTAGCTAGGAACAAGGAAACCCGACGAGAACCTGGTGGATGCAGGTTTTGGAAATGCAAGACCGGAGTCGCAGTCACAGACGGCCCGAACATCAAGCTCTGCAAGGCATAGGGTTGGCTTTTCTCAGACTAACAGAGAAAACAAATGGTCAAGGTACAGCTTCTGTCTAGTCTAGTAGTTCCCTGTGTTCTAGCTAGTTAGTAAGCTTACTAGTAGCACTACCTGGCCCTTTAGCCCTTACTTGATTAATTAAGTAGCCGCCTTCTTGGTCAAGTAAGAGCGGCGAAAAAGAAAAGCGCGGCTCGCTCGTCGGTTTCCAGGTCTTGAGAAAGATGGAAGTGGGCGAATTGATCCGACTTCTTGAAGGGCCAGAGGTTGACAAGGAGAGGTTGGATTGGTTGTCCCTCTTCTCTCCGAGGTCTTAACTTGTTCTTAAGTATGTTGGAGGCCATCGCTGGTAGGAACAAGAAGCTACTAGTAGCAAGGGCATCGCTACTAATAACAAGGGTACTACTACTAGTAGCAAGAAGCTACTAGTAGCTCCTGGCCTTACTACTGGCAACAAGAAGCTACTAGTAACAAAGGGCATCGCTTCTAGTAGCAAGAAGCTACTAGGGTGGAGGCCATCGGTGCCGGTCTTGGCACGTCGCGGAGTGGTCGCAGCATGGTGGCAGGAATCTGGTGTGACTCGCATCAAGGCGCTGTGCCTCAAGGAGCAGAGTTTTGTGTCCTTTCGTCGCTACGTTCGGGGCTCCTGGCCTTACTACTAGGAAGCTTCGGAGGCTACGAACGGAGCTTTTGGTCTAGTTGTTCCAAGAAGCATTCTCGCCAAGAAAGAGAGCAGTCTCGCAAGTAGAGAAAGAGGGCGAGATTGATTAAAGGCAGTATTCTTGACCTTGAGAATTTCAATGCCATGATCGTACTGTTTCTGCCGCAAGCCACCGTGGAGGACGGCTTGGAAGGGTGGGTCACAACCCTTGGAAATGCTGGGACGCTGTACGCAGAGGCCCTTCAGACATTCTGCTTGGAGGGGTGCAGGATGATGGTCGGAAGACCTTTTGCCAGAAGCGTTACCAGACTTCTTTTTATTCTTTTCCAAAAATCTAGTGCGAGCGCTTCAAAGCTTCCCCTTGCCCTCAGGCAGTGGGAGCTTCCTTGAAGAAGCGTGAGCTATCCTGCGTCCAGTAGCTAGTAGTTTACTTAGCCCTTACTTAATTAGGTAGGTCGTCTCTACTTAATTTAGTAGTAGGGTGCAGGCCACGGCCTAAAAAAATAGGAAACACACGTGTTTCCTTTTCTGACAGGAGAAAAGCGACATCTACAGCGTTTCTTGCGATGCAAGGGCACCTAGCGATCCCTGTGGTCAGCGAAGAACGGCGGCAACAAACCACAAACCTCCCTTCTTGGTGACAGGTTCTCTTCTTGGTTTAATCATTAGTCTATTCATTGGCCTGTTTGGAGGGAGAACCTTGACATTTTTCTAGTAGGTTGGAGGCCGTCGCTAGTAGGTTCACAAAGCCGAAACTCAGTCCATTCCTCGTCCTCAGGAATTACCACTTCAAAAGGCCTATGGGGACTTAAGCCAAGCCCTCAGGAAGAGCACATCCTCGAAGCTCAGCACGGCTAAAAAACCCTCAAAGAAGCGAAAGAAGCCTTCTAGGGTTGGAGCAATCCAAACCAAAGACCTCCAAAGGAGTTTTTTGTGAGAGAACCAATAGGAAAGGACATCTGAATTCATTCCTTGCAAGTATGGAAGGAGTAGAGGCCTAACTAACCCTTGTGATAGGTTCCCTAAGCGCGCTCACTTCAGGTTCGGGCACCATCCGAATGCTCCGGAAAGACGAAGCCTTTGAGGTGCGAGACTGAACCGGAACGGAGCATTTCGGGCATCGCGGCATCGAACGGAGCGATTTCGGACGCTACGTTCGGGGCTCCTGGCCTTACTACTAGGAACAATGTTTGCTGCTTAGAGACAAGAAACACATGTCAATTAAAATAGAAGTAAGTTTAATTAGAATTTAATTAATAGACCTGTGGAGATGCAAAACCAATCTAATAGCAATGGCCTCCAACCTACTAGCGATGGTCTCCAACCTACTAGAGATGGCCTCCATCGCTAGTAGGTTGGAGGCCATCTCTAGTAGGTTGGGGGCCATCGCTAGTTGGAGGCCATTGCTATTGAGTTGGAGGCCATCGCTAGTAGGTTGGCCTTCAGCCTAATAGCTATGGCCTCCAACCAAATGGCGATGGCCTCCAACCTAATACCGATGGATTCAAACCTACTAGCGATGGCCTCCAACCTACTAGCAATGGCCTCCAACCTAAGAGAGATGGCCTCCAACCTACTAGATTCCAACCTACTAGCGATGGCCTCCAACCTAGTAGCGATGGCCTCCAACCTTATAGCGA